TTTGCCAGTATGTGTGTGAGGGTATCAGAACCCCTGGAGGTAGAATTGCAAGCGCTGTGAGCCACCATGTGGGTGCTGGGAATTGAACCCAGTTCCTCTGGAAGAAGAGTCAGTGCTCTTAACCTCTGAGCCATCTCTCTGGCCCTGACAAATGTTATATTACTTATTTATATGTGGATATTAACTGTCAAGTCTTTGATAGGCAGGCTACAATCCATATAACCACAAAGGTTAGAAAGAGAGTAAGAGATTCGAGCACGGAGGAGGGAAGGACATCCCGAGGACCGGGAAATAGAGTGCATTCCCATGTGTTCTTTCCTATGACTGTGTACCAAGTCTCAGCAAACATTGCTCTTTCTGAAAAGGACTTCTGACCTTCAGCCTGCTATGCTGTATCCTACCTTGCTTTTTAAAATACAGTGTGTCAGACTAGACAACCTAATTTGTGCTTTTAACTTTTGTTTTGGGTGATGGGATGCTGTGAACCAGCTAAAGAACTTCCTGCCTTTGACTAAAGCAGCCAAGCAGAGGTAGATAACTTTAACCAGCAGTGGGCTAAGGTGAGTCTGCCCACGAGTCATAGAATCTTGGGGAGAAAATTATGATGTCATAGAGGAGCTTACAGATTTGAAGGGAGGCAAGAGGGGAACTTGGTTCAGAAGGCTTTGGCCTCTGACAGTCATGGACTCACTGGGCTGCTGAGGAAGATCCATCATCTGTCCACCTGCTGAACGCATCCAGGAAACAACAGTTAACAGCGGAAGTCAAGTATGGAAATGGTGAACTGAGAAGAGCCTGAGGAAGAAGTGTGACCAAATCAGGTAATACAAGCCTGCCCTGTGGGTCTTCTCTCCGGCTTGTTCCTTCACTCATCATTTAATTAATGAGGCCCACATACTGTCATGAAGAATTTTAGATATTAGAACAGTAGCGAGAAAGATGAGGATATCTGTGCTAATGAAACACACAGAACGGTCAGCTCCGAGTACTGTTATCAAATGCTAAGAAGTTAACATTTGCTTCAGGAAACGCTAAGGAAACAGACTGAGCTGATGGGTGGATGAAGTTCATTAAAGTGAGGGGCTCTTCAAAGAACTTCAAGTTTGAATAGTATTTAGTGAGACATTAGAAAAGAGATTAGAGAAAGATTCTTTAGACTGGGAAGCCATAGAAAAATGCTAAAAAGAAGTGGGCAGACTCCAGCAGCCATTCGCTTTGAGCCAGCCTATGGAACTTGAGAAAACAGTGCCTGGAAGTGAGAGGGGCTGGAGGGCAAGAGGCCCTAGAGGGCAACCCTACCAGGGTCCTAACAAACTTGGATTCGGTTCAATACTCACTGAAACAGAAGAGCAGAAAGACTTGAGAAAGTGGCTCTGGACCAGAGCCATGGTTTAAGACACTGGGCAGACTTCCAGGCAACCTGTGAGCGGTTGCCTTAGGAAGAGGGATAGAGTAGGGAAGAAGCTTGTTCTGAGGGGGAGGCAGTGGGTAGTAGCCAAGTTTTTAGAGGTAGAAGGCTTCAAGAATGTAAACTATGCCTGGATAAAAGGAGGACCACTCCTCAGGAGGAGATGAAGGCAGTTAGAGACCCAGTTAGAGGTTAACAGACTCCTTGAACCAGTTGGCGAGAAGATGCTGGCAACAGAGCTGGCTTGGGATAGAATCTGTATCTAGTGTGTTAAGACTGCTCAGGGACTTAGCATTGTCTTCTCTGTGTCATAGTGGACTACACTGGCTCCTAGCCTATCTGCCACCTCTGATACTGGGAACTCGCTCTCCATACCCAACACAGGAATCATGGTGGGGGTGGAGCTTGTCTGAAAACTAGAGCTCAGGGCCCTGTATAGGGATGAGAAACAGACTGGATAGATGAATCGTAAGAAGCTGAACTACCAAGTTCACAAAGGCTCTGAACTGCCCTTCCAGTACGCTGCTTCAGGTTAGAAGAAAGAGAGTGAAAGACAAAGAGAGGAGTCAGGGTCCCTGCCCTGTGGGAAGTCCAAGGTCCTCTCCCCTCCATCCAGGTCTAGGAAGGTGAGCATCCAAACAGACTAGGCTCCCACAAGGCCAGTCTCAGTCAGCCCTCATTGTCAGCCACATTCAGAGAGTCCAGTTTGATCACATGCTCCATCAGTCCCAGTCCAGCTGGTCTTGACAAGGGAAGGGGAGAGGGAGTGGGGGGAGTGGGAGGGAAATGGGAGGAGGGGAGGAGGTGGAAATTTTTGATAAATAAATAAGTAAATTTTAAAAAAGACAGAGGTAGAGACAAGAAGGCAGAGAAGGTAGAGGTCACCCTCAGGAAAGAAAGCAGTAGAAAATAAAATGGTGCCAAATCCTCCTCTCTGAGCCTGGTCTCAGGTTGGGGACTTTAAAGGAGCAGATGCCTTCCCACAGATGCCCTCCTCAGAACTCACTGCCTAAGGCTCCATGGCCTCAAGTGCATGTAACTTCCTGTAAAATAGCTCTAAGCCAAGATGATAAGAGACCCAGGTACTCCTTACCCGTTCCTGGCTGCCCTGGTGTCTATTGTTAGGCAGAGTCTCTGTCATTTTCTGTTTGTTTCCTCACCGCTGACCTCAATCCCTGGCAAGTCTGGGCATTGCCAGGCAGATCTGCCACCTCAGCCCCTTTGTGGCATCTCTGGTCTAGGAGGAGGAGGGATTGAATGACTACTCCTTAGACATGCTGCTCTAGGATCTTCCTCTTGCCACAGAAATAGGAGTTTCTACCAATGACAGGGACCTAAGATAGCTGGCAGGCACCATTACAGAATTAAAGACCTAGTCCCCAAGGTCACCCCCTTCCCAGTGGAAATAGTTCAACTCCAGCATTGAGGATGTGTGGGACTGAAATTCAGCGGTGGGAGCTGGAGAGTTGAAGTTAGCACTCCTTTCCACATCTTCCTCCCTGCTGCTACTGTGGGCCAGGAAACCCACAGCATCCCCACTGACTCCATCCAGGGATCCGCCTAGGCCTAAGCCAGGTGCCTTCCTCCCATAGTGAAAGCTGCAGAGTGAGGATCAGAAAGTTGAGAGGGGCCAGGTGGGGCTGGGCAACAGCTTGTCAGTCAGAAAGTCACTGTCTCCACAGGGTGGAGGCAGCAGCCACACCTAGACTCACTGGGATCCAGTTTGTCAAGTATAAACAGGATTTAGGTCCAATCCCCAGAAAGAAAAGGAATGAGTCTAAAGACACCCATCCCCCAGGACATCCAAAGCCCTGCCTCTGCTATGAAGTCATAAAGAGTGGTTCTCATGGCAATGTAGGTCATCTTACAGGTGCCCTTAGTAACCACCTAACTCAAGAATTCTGTCCTCTTCTGGGGCTTTCTAACCAAGATAATCTCTGATGTGAGCAGTTTGTAGCTTCTCTCCCCAGGAGCCCCTACACTTCAGTATAATAGAACAAGAAGATAGTCTAAGGATGGGAAGGGTGGGATAGACCTAGGTGGAATGGTCCACTGCAGGAGACCAGGGCCTCAGCAGAACAGGCACCATTAGAGGTCCTCACCCAGGAACCAAATGCAAATCCTAATGAGAAATTTATTTAATCTCAACTTGATCCAGCTGGCAGGCACTGTTACAAGCCTCAAATAACTTCCTTCTTTGTATCACCATGACAAAAGAGCATACACACATATGTACACGTACACACACACACACACATGGATATGCATGTATGTAAACACACATCAACACCTGGCTGCACTTTGAAAGGTAGTTTTTGTCAGAGGTGTTTTAAATATACCCGTAGGAGCCACGTGTTGGGAGGGTGGCTGAAACTTCACCTACGCAGTCTCTGCTCCAACTCCCACACCCACCTTCCTCCCCCTGGGTGACAGGGCTCTGATAAGCCTGGCATCTACCCATCATCAATATGTGATCTTGTGAACTGAGTATACATCAAAGGTGTACAAACCATCCTGCTTCCTTAGATATCTCCTTCACAGTTACATGATAGCCCTGGTCTCTGCTTGTGACTCTTGGTCACTTCCTCACCTGTCCTGTATTGGAGACAGGTCTGTGGTTTTGATCAATATCCCATAAAAGGCACAGAAAATGTACAGGGCTCACATATAGGAAGTAGACTTAAGAATCCCGCTGAGAAACTTGCTTGGTAGGAAACCTGCCTATTTACTGAAACAGAGCTATTTGGGACTTTACAATTCACCAAGGAATAAGAATAACATTGCAGAAGTTTTGAATGATTGAGTTTGAGGGCCTCTCCAAAGTCTAGTTTCCTTCTGCTCACCCCGACCCTGTCCCCTTAGGGAAGAAACAATAGCCCAGAAATGTGAGCAGAACCTGTGGTTCCAGAGCTAGGCCTTCCACTGCAGCCCTGCAATGCCTGGGACAGTGCCTTATCTGTTTGCTTACTGCCACTAGCCGTTGGCAGTTGATGGCTTGTGTTTCAAGGTGCATGGAATGATCCAGTACATTCAGAAAAAGGGAGTGATGGTTGGTGGCTCTGAAAATCCTAATGTACCCAAGATCCTGGAAACTTTTAGATTTGAATAAATACATTTAGATCTGAATATACACAAGATCTGGGCTGCTGAGATGGAACCCATTTTGAATCCATTTGCAAACTGCTAGGATAGAAGTTTGAATTTCAGTTGTCTAAGGTGGTATAAAAAAAGACTCACCCTTTACACTGGTACTCATCACTAGATGAGATAAAGCTTATGTCATGACTCAGTCAGCCCAAGAGTCTCTCTCCTCTTCACTAAGAGACTATAAGAAAATGTATTGCATATTTGTAACTTTACATTCTTTACCTGGAAAATGGCTACTTAGCGAGGAACAGACACATGGATACCCATAAAGGCAGGGCTGGGGACTAGATGAGGCTTCTCAGAGGTCCAGCCCTACTTACCAAGGGCTTAGTTTTCACTCTGAGGATTCAGATGCATTGGTGATCAAGCAAGGTGTTGATGAAAGCAGGTCTCCAGGCTTGTCATTTGAATATTCTTTTTTCTAGGAACTTCAACTACAAGGAAGATGAGTGAGCCATCAAAAAACAACTCGTGCTGCCCGCCAAGTCCTCCATGCTGCCCACCCAAACCATGCTGCCCACCCAAACCATGCTGCCCACCCAAACCATGCTGTCCCAAGTCCCCATGCTGCCCACCCAAACCATGCAGCCCACCCAAATCCCCTTGCTGCCCGCCAAAACCATGCTGCCCGCAGAAATGCTCGTGCTGCCCGAAAAAGTGCACATGCTGCCCGCAGCCTCCACCTTCCTGCACTCAACCCAACTGCTGCTGTGCGGAGAACAAGGCTGAGTCAGACTCTGATTCCACAACTGGCCAAACCCAGGACAAGGGCACTCCAACACAACAGAAGAAGACAAAGTAGACTGCCCCCGACACTATGCCCTTCTTCAAAGGGTGTGGGATTACTACAATTCAGGCTAAGACTATGTTTTAAGGATGCTGTTTTCACACTAACAAGACCACCCAATCAGAGACTACCATTTCCACCCAACCATAGACTACCATTTGCAACTGGAAATGGAAGGTAGAAAAGGCTGGAAACATTTTGCCTGGTGATCCTGACATTTAGATAGCACGAAAATAAAAGAGCAATAAAAGAACATTGTTCTCTTTCTTTCATTTACATATGAAGCCTCACAGAGTAAGCTGGGCACATTCTAAGGGCCACAGAGACAGAAAACATTTAACCCAAGACACGACCCCTCTGGTGAAAACGGAGACTACCTGGGTTTTGGTTGGTAGGTTAGTTTTTCACTACTGTGGCTTTGAACCCAGGGCCTTAAGCTAGCTAAGCATATTCTCCCTCTGAGCTGGAATTCCTGCTTGTCTTGCCTTTAAAGGGAGAGTGTTACACCCTGGGGACCCCTTCGGTTCCTGTTCAAGTGAAGGGTGGTGTCTCACATCCAGGTTTCTTAGAGCTTAGAGCATTTGGTTGCAGACCAAACACACCCCCATAATACCCTTGAGATGACCACAGTGCCCTATATACTTTGGCAGCATCAAAGAGGACTCAGCAAAGTGCTGGAGACAGCAAGTGAGGCCTGTGGTGTCGTGCTGGCTGTGGGCTGAGCAGTCGCTCCAGGACAAGCTACTGTGCATCTCCAGGCTCTGTCCATACTTCAAATGGGTTCACTTTTCTGAGGCCGGGTCCCTCCTTCACTCCAAAAGCCACCTGTGTTAAAGCAATTTGCTTTCAAACACGTTCCCATTCATCCAGGTGAGCAAGTAAGATAAAAAGTCATCTGTAACACACACACCAACTTGCATCTTCCCTGCTTTCGGGGTCCATACAATTTAAACCCTTCCTGTTGCTCCCTCGTGTCTCTCCTTTCCCAGCAGGAATTTTTGTCCCTTTAAGTTTGAATTTTTCAAAAGATTTCATAAAATCCCCTTAAATTGTATTTCGTCAACCCCCACAGGTATCTTATGTGAAGAAGCTCAGACCACAATATGTACATATATATATATGTGCATATATATACATATGTATATATATGCACATATATATACATATATATACGTATATATATATGTACATATATATGTATATATACGTATATATATGTACATATATATATGTACATATATATATATATATGATGTACACAAGTGAAATCCCTCGGGCTTTCAAAGAGGAAGTGCATTTGTTGAGAACAATGCACTCACGAGGGGCAAAATCCTCCCCATATAGTTTACCAACTGTGTGCACCTTCAAAGCATTTTATAGTTTCCCACGTGACTGACAATGCTCGGGCCAGATGGTTCTGGGTTAAAATCTGGACGTGTATATAGAAAATGCACATATACACATTAAGCCTCATTATGGTGGAAAGAACAAAAGGATGGCATACTAATGAAAACAGATAGATGGAGCCTATGCTGGGTGAAATAGACTCACGAACACAAGTTCTCATACACAGCAGGAAAGCTGTGGGGGACTATTTGAATTAAAGGTAGCAACAGGAGGGTGTGGAAGGGAAAAAAGCATGATGGGTTAAATATGAGTAAAAACAATTCTATAAATTTAAGAATATTTCTTATTTTCTATACTAACAAAATATTTTTGGTGCTCTAGGTTTCCCCTGTTGCAGGGGAAATTTAAAATTTAAAAATTTAGAAACCACTTGTCCACTTAGTCCACTTTAGCATACCAGTGTGAGAACTGCTGGCATTCACGGGCCTCTTGCAGGGAAGGAAGCAGTGGGGTCCAGGGCTGGCCATGGATCTGGTCTTGTGGAGAAGCAGCGGAGGAAAGCCTTACACTTTGTCCTGTGAGATCAGGCTGCCGAGCTGTGGGGATGAAGAGGCCGGTCACAGCTGGGGAAACCCCATTCCTCACTCCGGATCTCCAGTGTCACTCCCTTACACACAGAACATCCCTCCTGGCCCAGCTCACACCCAACACAGCCTCCACTCCAGGCCAAAGCAATGGACATTCCTCCATGCTCAGTTTCTGCCACTTCCCCCAAGTGCTCCAATAGCCAAGCATGCTACTGCATGTATCAAGTGTTCATTTCTAAATCATTAGTCCTGATTAGAAAATTTGTCAGCACATATGTACACCCTAGTTGATGGGCATTTGGCGCTCCTCCAATGGTTGATTGTTAATGAACCTGGACAATAGGTATGTGGACACAGGGCTCATCTCTGTAGTGGAAGCTGAAAGCCAAAATGCATATAGTGTTGTACCTTGGGGGAAACTACCCAACTGTTTCCAGTGTGATTGGGTACTTTATATCTTATAGAATTATTCTGATTGTTACATATCTTGGTAATACTTCATACCCTCAGATTTTCAAGTTTTTGACATTATGATCCAATATGGATGTTGGCTTTAATTTTCATGATCTTTATGATAGATGACAAAAAAATCCTTTCTTTTTCTCATTTGTCTCCATCATTGGTGAATTATACTCAAATGTTCTATCCACTTTATGGCTTATCATTGAATTTGAATGTTTTTTTTATCAGTAAATAACTTGGATATATTTTACTCAGGCTGCAACTTACCTTTTCACCCTAATAATTTTTTCCCAAATAGCAAGAATTCTTTATTTTGAAAAGAGTTTGAATATAATTACCAAAGATGAGAGGCCAATGTCAGTCACAGAACGCACAAGTAGTTAAATGAAAGGCACAGAATACCTCCCGAGGTCTTCACAACAGTACAGGCTATTGTTACTTGCCTTGCTTAGCACCATTGCTACACGGTAAGACACTGGTGCAAAAGGTACAAGGACAGAGGACCAATCTCAAACTGTTGAGGAAATATGACCATCAGCCTGGTTTTCATAGTACCTGAAGATGCCAGGAAGGGTGCCGAGGGAGGAAGGAAATCAGTGATTTTACCCAGAATTGGACACTGCATATTACAATACATCTCTGCCTGGCAAGAGGTGCCTATGGTGCAGTAGTGTGGTATCTGTTCTGAGTGAACTAATTGATAGGATTTGAAGTCTGCTCCACAGGAGGAAAATTCATGCCTGCTACTATAATCCTAGTCAAAAGTGCATGGCAAAGAGGCCACAACTTCTAGTGCAGAACCCCCTATAGCTATTTTGATAAGTTGTCATGCTGTCAAATTACTTCCTAAATATTTATCTCTCTACTCATAGATCTGGGATGTTCCCAACCTTGGTCAAGAGAGCTTCTTTTCCTTTTCTCACTAACAGAGAGAAAGGCTGAAAATAGAGACTGAGTGATCATACCTTAATGAATAAATTTTTGACCACCACCTCCCCCCGCACCAGCCAAGGCTCATCTCCAAAGAGGAGGCAGAAAGAATGCAAAAGCTGCAGGAAGTGGAAGACTGCACTGAAATGTTGTCTTGACATGACTATCACCTCAGGAACTTAGTAACTATGATTACCTATTCAAGTACTTAACCAGATCAAGTCAACTAAAACTCTGGCATAGGTGAGGGAGATGCTCGTCAGGACCCACCCCTTAATGAGGCGCTATTGGTAGCTGATAGTTGCTGAGGGAGAAAGACTCGATCTGAGAGTGTTCCCAGTGGTAAGTTTCCTGCACTTCAGAGCATGGCCCTGTAACCATGCCTATAATGGTGATGCTAATAGAGCTTGAAGAAGGAGGAAGAGTAGGAGGAGGTAGAAGAAGACAGGGAGGAAGAGGACATCAAGTTGGGAGGGAGATACATTGAACAGAATAGAAGGAGGAAAATGGAAAATGGTTATCATCATATACCATTGTATTTATGTATGAAGTTCTGAAGAATAAATAAAATCTTAATTAAGACAGAGGTCTTAGTGTCGGTAAAGTACAATCCAATCAATTGTTTTCTTTTATGAATCTTCTATATCATGTATAAGGATTTCTTTTTGTCTAATTTCAGAATACAAGGATTGTCTCCTTTGCTTTCTTCTGAAAGGTAAAGTCTGTATCTGGTGTGATGGGTGTGGAGAGAGGCTGATGGGAGGAAGACTAATGTGGCTCTCCAGCCAGCCCAGCGCTATCTGTGAGGCTGTTGTAGGCTAATGTAGCTCTCCAGCCAGCCCAGCACTATCTGTGAGGCTGTTGGGCTATAGACTAAGTGACTCTCTAGCTAGCTCAGCGCTATCTGTGGAAGACTGTCCTTAACCAAACTGCGTTAACATCTTCAACCGAAACACCTACCTTGTCAGGCTTATCAGAGTTTCTTAGTTGTATGATTTCTCTATTGTGATACTAGTGTTTTATTTACTGCAATGTTACAGTTTTTAAAACCATGGAAGGCAAACAAATGTGTCATTTTTCAGACTTGTTATGACTATCCTAAGTTCTTTGAATTTCTATATAAATATTAGAATAAACTTACCAATTGCTATCAAAACAAACAAACAAACCCTGCTGGCATTTGTCTGACTGCTATAGCATATTCTGGTCAGCCAGTGATGACTTCCTAGGTCAATATGGGCAGAGTTTAGAAAGACTAGAAGTAGGCAATAAGTGCTAGTTAGTCATTTAGAATTTCTCCTTACAATGTTTTTGATTTGTGGCCTGTCCTCACATGCCCACATTCTGCCTATACTGTCTCTTGATTCCTCTCGAATCCAGCTTTTCCTTCCCATTCACCTTAGGCTGTGTATGAACTACTTTTTCATTGTTGTGACAAAATATCAGGAAAAAATTAAGGAAAGAAGGTTTTATTTTTTGCTTACAGTTATAGGTTCTAGTTCATTGTGGTGGGGAAGTCATAGCTGCAGGAACACACAACCTCTGGTTATACTGTCTCTATAGACAGGAAGCAGAGAGACCCTAGAGAGTTAAGACTCAGTTCCCTGTTCTCCTTTACATTAAGTCTGTGGAAAGATACCACCAATATTTAAGGTGGATCTTCCTCTGTCAATTAGCCAAATCTAGATA